TTTCTATCATGGGAGCTATCTACTGGGCATATTCGTTTGTCTGATCAGCAGCATGTGTACAGGAGTCAGATACCCCTCTTTACGTAATACTTCATTACGTAACGTCATTAATTACCGTATTCTTGAACAAGAATGACTTTGAATGCCACTTTATACAATAGCGCGTATGATTAGCACCATATGCGCCCCAAGCCAAAGTAAATGTTAGGTTATTTTATTCTAGTTTTGTTTTATGTAAATATGTTATCTGTATGACTTTATGAATCATAAACATGTATGTCATTATCTCTATTTGATTGTTATGTTATTTATAAATATGTGTTTACTTTGTAAACATTGTTTATAAATAAATGTTAGTAAGGCCAGCCATAGCTTCGGCTCCGCCCACACTGTCACTCTGTAATTGTCAATCGCTGAACAGTCGTTCCGCAACGTTCCAAACAATTGAACATCCATTCTATCTTAAGATATCATTCATTCAGTTTTTCGAAGTAGCGAACGACACAACGAGATTCAAACATTTTTCAAAGTTGACCACCACCTCCCCACCTCCAATCCTTTTAAATGCTTTCTTTTGCCTTTATGATGTTTTCTCTTTACAATAGTAATTGTTGGCATTCACACTCATTACTTCGTTCTAACCCCCAAGTAATTTCACACTCTCATTTTTCGGCAGTATTTTATGTCTAAATTACCCATCTTCCGTACTTTGCGGGAGATCTCTCCATGGGGCTATCTACCGCACTATTCGTCTTGGGAGTCAGGTCTTCGCGATCTACCAAGCATGGTCGGGAGTCAGATACCCCTTTAGTCATCGTGGGGCTATCTACCGCACTATTCGTCTTGGGAGTCAGGTCTTCGCGATCTACCAAGCATGGTCGGGAGTCAGATACCTCACCACCCATTTTCTATCATGGGAGCTATCTACTGGGCATATTCGTTTGTCTGATCAGCAGCATGTGTACAGGAGTCAGATACCCCTCTTTACGTAATACTTCATTACGTAACGTCATTAATTACCGTATTCTTGAACAAGAATGACTTTGAATGCCACTTTATACAATAGCGCGTATGATTAGCACCATATGCGCCCCAAGCCAAAGTAAATGTTAGGTTATTTTATTCTAGTTTTGTTTTATGTAAATATGTTATCTGTATGACTTTATGAATCATAAACATGTATGTCATTATCTCTATTTGATTGTTATGTTATTTATAAACCATAGAATATATCAAAACAAACATTATACTGGTCTTTTAACCAGAATTGGTGAGATATTGTTAGAAATGTTAGTGACATTTTGCATGTTAATGTCTTGTATTCTCTTGGAGTTGATACCCGGTTATATTTTCAGTTCATTTACTGTACTTCTACTTAATATTTGCCGGCAGTTATGATTTGCAGATCTGCCAAATTGTTAAAGTCCGCCAAATTTTAGTACCATGTAAATTAGTACATTGTAATATTGCAAGTCAGCCAAATTAAGTAGCTGCCAAATGTTCAAAACAGCAAATCCGCCAAAATAAGTAGCGCGAAACTAAGCTGAAGTACAGTATAAATCTCTAGTGTGTTACCTACTGTGTACAATGTCCATTATCTAATTGGCTACGCTTTATTGGGAATTGTGTGCAAGCTAAGATTACAAATGAATTATCATTCATATAACTGGACCTAATATTCATTGACAATAGTATGGGTGGAAATATATTCTTATGACATACCACAGAGAATGTTAAGAGTATCACGACTACTCCCCATGTGAGATCAGAGATATCCTATATTAGTATACTTTCAAAATACTATTTAAGATTCTTTTCCTATTTAATACCTTTCTAAAAGGTTTCTGACTTCCTATTCATTGGTTGTATCCAGTTTTATATATTTTCTCAAAAGTTTTACCACAAATAATGTGAAAAAAATGTAAAATTAGACTCTGGAAAAAACACTTTAGAGACCGGAAAAGCTATTAAACTCTGGAGCAAAAGGGTCTAATGACATTAGACTCCAGAGGGTCTAATGACATTAGACTCCAGAGATTCTAGTGAGAACCCTGATACACGAGGTGGTGTCACAATATGTGTATAATGACATTATGCCATTAAAGAAAGCTGAGATTTAAAATAACTTTTGTTTTTGTTATTTATTATTTAATTGATGTAATGGTGAGTTGCAGAGACAGGTCTTGAACGAATTAAAGCAGTTAAACACTTTCTTTGATTACCTGCTCTCATGTCTTCATTAACTTGCAGCCAAAAAGATTGGGCAATTGCAAAACATTGGCATACAATCAATGAAAGTGTCTGCTTTGAATTGTATCGTTTGCTTTGTGTTTTATAATGCTCTTTAACTTGATTCCTTGCTAATTCCACTCAAAAGCCTTTAAAATTCTGCAAAATATCTTTATAACCATGACGATACACTATGACATGACTGTCAGTAACCATAAGGTTTTTATGACTTTTTTATGAGATATTATAAATCTGAAGCTATGAAATATTAATACAAGAAGTTCGAACACCGTAAAACATTATTACAAAATTCCACATGAATAATGCATATCATCACGTTATGTATACCCAAAAACTTACCTATTTTCAATATACAGGATTTTGAAGATATGTTTCTTCTGTATTTAAAATATAACCCTTCTTGATTCTTGATTTCATCTGGCTGTATTTTACTCCAGTGTTTTTTTATGAAGCAGTTTTCAATCGATGATTCTGTCTTACTCTGCCAAACCACAGATCTGCATTGATAGCTCAATATTGGTGTGTGCGCTATTATAGACACATTTATATTAACGAAATGCGACTGGAATATTGGTTAGAAGTTCTTTGTTTTAAAGTTACCTCTTACAATGGGAAATAAAGAGCTTGGAATGTAAATGGTCTTGCACAAGTCAGCTGTTTTAAAACTTCATTTTAATCACATATTCCCGTTATTTTTCTATCTTATATTTGAATAAAGTTACTAATTCTCTGGCATTTCTAAATTATATGGAATTAAGACTTTGTGACTCTATACTTATTTTCCCACTTTTATAGATCACTTCACAGGATTTTCTAGATTAAAACATGAGTGTAGGGGTATTTTAATTAAGGGCAATTTATTGAATACCAATATTATATTTATTGTATTATAACAATTGATCTCTGCTCTAATTCTCAATATAAAATAAACAATATTCCTCTAGCTTTACATCATGTTTTGCCATCTGTTATTCAGCTACTGTAGATGCATCCTTAGTTCACATGGAATTTTGAAGCACTTCTTAGACAAATGTTTAACATATAGCAATATATCAGAAAACATTATAGTGTTATAATTCATATGTAAAATTATACCCTTATAATATTATATAACTGGATATATGCAGGGATTGACATTTATGGGCTATTTCATATTTTTACTTTAAATGAACGTGTAAATCATTTACACATGATAGAGTACACCCTATGCAGACAGAGCCTGTGGGAAATATTGGGTGCGGAGCAAATGAGCGGAGGGTGCGGAGCTAACGGTCATTTTTGAATTTAATTTGGGATATTTCTGAAACTAAGCCGTTTTGGGACTTCAAATATACCAAGATATGTGTATTTGACACCAAATATCAATACAATTGTGTAAGTAGTAGCTCCATAAACGTAGCTCCGCACCCAATATTTAGAGGGGGCTCATATCTGAAGAACATTTCCGAATTTTTATTAAATCACACAGATACTGCCTGGCTTCCAAGATGCAAAAATAATTTGCATGGGTAGTGTATCTTGAACACCATTTTTTATGAATGCTGGGGACGCAGTATTAAAAGGATAGTCTCAAAATATATAGGTCTGGGAAATGTTAAAGGCATACTGCGTCGCTATAAAATGAATTGCACTACTATTTTCACAATTTTATTGATATTTGGTGTCAAATACACATATCTTGGTATATTTGAAGTCCCAAAACGGCTTAGTTTCAGAAATATCCCAAATTTAAATTCAAAAATGACCGTTAGCTCCGCACCCTCCGCTCATTTGTGCCGCACCCAATATTTCCCACAGGCTCTGTCTGCATAGGGTGGAGTAACGGCATCACAAATTCTGTTAATAAGCTGAATAATATAATAGCCAGCTTTTGTTCTATTCTATTACAGGCAACACTAATTTTGTGATTTTCAATGGTTCTTTAGTAAAGCCCAGTGAGTATTTATTGATTGCTAATTGTGGTGTATTGGCTGATTTACAAGAAGTAACTGATACAGTATAAAATCAAAGACCACTTGTATAGTGTATTTTCTACTGTGGATATTAAATATCTTTCATTTTCCATATTTACTGGTGTCACTATTTTACTGACTATGCTATTTTACAACTTTAGTTTAGTTTTAAAATTTAAGTTTAATAAAACTAGTAGTACTCTTGTTTTCAACTGATAAGTCACACTTTGAAACATTTTGAATATGTTATAAATATAATTTTTTCAAAACCCTAGAACTCGTACGTAGCTTATTCAGATTTTAGACTGTAATATATTTCAAATATGGATGAATCTTAGATGTCTATCAAATATCAAAATATTGAAATTAATGAAAATTATCTGAGGAGATTCATCAACTAATAAGTGATGTCTAAGACACACAGTGTGATGTTTTACACTTTTTAGTTATAATTCTTCTTCTTCAAGGTATATTTGAGAAATAATCACCTAGTTAATATACATCATGTTTCATCTAGAATACCTTTAACAATTTAGGCCTTTTCCAATATTATTTCAACAGATATATTAAAAAGCTTACAATGAGCAATAAATTTCATTCATCGATATGCTGAGACTTCATTTAGTTGATGTTAGTTTGTAATATTCAAATAGATCATTTTGCAAATAGAAGTTCTGGAATTGTTTCATATAGTATTGATCAGTAATATTAATTGAATAAAACAAATGTAATACTATGAAAGCGGCTTTCAATGTTTGTGTATTGACAGATTTTGTTTGTGGATAAAATAAAACTTACCTGAATAAAAGTTTCCCATGTTAGCCTTTGTTGAAGAGCATCATTCGTAGATATGACCATATCACATGCATCTCCAAAAGTATTATGATTCGCTGATTTGATTTGCCAAGATGACGCACATTGTCTAAATGTCAAGCCGCCTTCAGGTTGAATTTTGATCTTTTTTTCAATCAATTTTCATCTTTGCTGTTGTGCCCTGGCAGTCTTACTATATTGAGATGTGAAACTCTTCATCCTCAGGTGACGTTACTCTCATGTAGAAACTTGGCACCATGGCAATCTCCTATGACTCTTAGCTTGCTTCTGAATACTGTTTAAACACTGGCGCTGTGAGGCTAGTGCTGTAAATATAACTATACCTGTCTATGAGGTATATTGGTAAATCTTATCTAGAAAATATAATGGATTAAGAGGATTTTCAATAAATAAATAAAACAGGCATAAAGCCTTACATCATTCATTGTATAGAAATTCACGATTTTTAAAAAGCACATATTAATTGATAAATTGAACTAATTGTTATGATGAGTTTGAATATTTATGCTATCTCATGCATTTAAAACATAAGTTTGAGCAGTTCAGGAATTGGTGTTAAAGTAGTCCAATCCTGAAAATGGGTTATATAATTTTTTATGTCTCCGGTTTTGGTGGCATTATAGTCTCCAACTTTTTTGTGAATGGTGTTCGGCAATTGGCATTCTGAGTTTGGTGGCTGTAACAATTTGTGTTCAGCATCTGGAATGATTTGCAATACCTTAGATAAGGTGGTAACATTTTGTTATGCCTTTTTATTTGACTTTAACATGTTGCTATGGTCTAGCTATGGAGTTAATATTTGTCCCATCCTCCCCACCTTCCTTAACATGTCTTTTATTTTATGGAAATGAATGAATGGTGGAATATACTGGTCTTTTTTGTACAAATGAAAGAATAATGGAATATACTGGTCTTTTCGTACAAATGAAAGAATAGTTGAACATACAGTACTAGTCTTTTTGTACAAATGAAAGAATAGTGGAATAAACTGGTCTTTTTTGTACAAATGAAAGAATAGTGAAATATACTGGTCTTTTTGTACAAATGAAAGAATAATGGAACAAACTGGTCTTTTTTGTATAAATGAAAGAATAGTGGAATAAACTGGTCTTTTTGTACACATGAAAGAATAGTGGAATAAACTGGTCTTTTTTGTACAAATGAAAGAATAGTGGAATAAACTGGTCTTTTTTGTACAAATGAAAGAATAATGGAACATATTGGTCTTTTTTTGTACAAATGAAAGAATTGTACAAATGAAAGAATAGTGGAATATACTGGTCTTTTTGTACAAATGAAAGAATAATGGAACATACTGGTATTTTTTTGTACATATGAAAGAATAGTGGAATAAACGGGTATTTTTGTACAAATGAAAGAATAGTGGAATATACTGGTCTTTTTGTACAAATGAAAAACTAGTGGAATAAACTGGTCTTTTTTGTATAAATGAAAGAACAAAATTGTAACATACTGGTCTTTGTTGTAAGAATGAAAGAAAAGTGGAATATACTGGTCTTTTTGTACAAGTTATGTGTGTAAATATGTCTGTCAGTCTCAAGTAGAAGAAAATTACTGTTGCAGCTGAACCTTTTTAATGAATTTTTTCTCATTATTGCTACATTGGTTAATTGATTGATAGACTGTATATTAGTTTCATAAAACATTGAATTAAAAAATAATCATTCATTTCAGGCTTAATCTATTTTTGATTGAAAGTAATCTTTGATTCATGTTTCTAAAGTAAAAGGCTACCCTTTTCATTAGTTTCATTTCACTTCTTCAAAAGTTTTGTCTAAATGATCATTTGAAATAGGGCATTTAGAGTAATTGAAATATACCTTCCGAACTAGAAATGCATTCAATTGTATTTTCCGTCTTCATAAATAGATGTAAGGTTTTGATTTTACTTCTTTAAATTTCAATTTATTTATATTTCCTGAGTATAAATTCATGTACAAACATATGCCATTGTTAAATTAATAACATTAGCAACAAAAAGTTTCATAATCAATCCCCATTTAAACACATGACAGCTACCATTTGGATGATTATTACGATCTTATAAGAATCAAAACTGAAAAGTTTCTGTCGTCAGAGGGTAATAATTACTGCTATAAAACTCTGGGTTTCCTGGTATAAAAAGTTAAAATATTTAGTTTATCAAAATAATAAGCAGGAGAAAAATAAAAACTAATATGCTCACCCTGATCCTATCAAGTGGAATAGTATTTAGGAGTTAAATGCATTGTGGCCAACACGTTGCCCGAGTTGCACTAAAATATTTGAAAATTAATATGCTTCCCTGATCCTATCAAGTGGAATAGTATTTAGGAGTTAAATGCATTGTGGCCAACACGTTGACCGAGTTGCACTAAAATATTTGAAAATTAATATGCTTCCCTGATCCTATCAAGTGGAATAGTATTTAGGAGTTAAATGCATTGTGGCCAACACGTTGCCCGAGTTGCACTAAAATATTTGAAAATTAATATGCTTCCCTGATCCTATCAAGTGGAATAGTATTTAGGAGTTAAATGCATTGTGGCCAACATAGTGCCCGAGTTGCACTAAAATATTTGAAAATTAATATGCTTCCCTGATCCTATCAAGTGGAATAGTATTTAGGAGTTAAATGCATTGTGGCCAACACGTTGCCCGAGTTGCACTAAAATATTTGAAAATTAATATGCTTCCCTGATCCTATCAAGTGGAATAGTATTTAGGAGTTAAATGCATTGTGGCCAACATGTTGCCCGAGTTGCACTAAAATATTTGAAAATTAATATGCTTCCCTGATCCTATCAAGTGGAATAGTATTTAGGAGTTAAATGCATTGTGGCCAACACGTTGCCCGAGTTGCACTAAAATATTTGAAAATTAATATGCTTCCCTGATCCTATCAAGTGGAATAGTATATAGGGGTTAAATGCATTGTGGCCAACACGTTGCCCGAGTTGCACTAAAATATTTGAAAATTAATATGCTTCCCTGATCCTATCAAGTGGAATAGTATTTAGGAGTTAAATGCATTGTGGCCAACACGTTGCCCGAGTTGCACTAAAATATTTGAAAATTAATATGCTTCCCTGATCCTATCAAGTGGAATAGTATTTAGGAGTTAAATGCATCGTGGCCAACACGTTGCCCGAGTTGCACTAAAATATTTGAAAATTAATATGCTTCCCTGATCCTATCAAGTGGAATAGTATTTAGGAGTTAAATGCATTGTGGCCAACACAGTGCCCGAGTTGCACTAAAATATTTGAACACTTTTAATTATGAAAAGCACTTTAAGTTCAAGCGATTGGATAACTCAATGATCTATTTCTTGTATTGTAACTCATGATCAATGATTTACTCACATGACCACTACGTAATGTTGTTGTCTAACTTGTAGTGTAATCATATTTGCCACTTGTAATTACATTTACTAGAGTCATTTCAGAGAGTAATTGCATCGCAGTCTTCACTGATGTAACCTGTTCACACTATTGGCTTTGCAATCTAGCTAAGATTGCCTACAGATTAGTGCCAATTGCAATAATTTGTCAATCGATACACCATACAACCTTGTGGGAGTTCTACGTGTGCGTGACACTCATTTTATATGGGCAGTTCACCAAGTACTTCATCCAGTGTATTTCTGCACTGTTCAGAGTGACATTGACCGAACAATCAATTGATTGAGTGATTGATTGATTGATTGATTGATTGATAGGCCCAAGTGGGAGATTAGAATGAAGCTCACCACAATGTGTCCACAATGCATCTCTATGACAAAGACAAAAACAATTGAATTGAAAGACTTTTGCATGTTTATTTCTTTCCAGTTTGCCTTCTCCCTCTGTGCTTCCTTGCTTTGTATTAATATGGACAGGCATAACTGCAGGAATTAATCTCATTAAAAAAAGGAAAAACAGGCTCATAAATCTTTGGAGGTTTCTAATGACTTTCAACCTGTAATTGCTGAGGATCATGATGGGATTTCTGAGTTTAGAGATGCCATTGTTACCTTGGATGACCCAATTAATAAACTGGAATCATTATCCCAAATAAAATATTTTTCCATCTTGGTTGGACCGAGTATGACTACAGATTATGATCTTGTCATGTTTCTGCCTTGTTGTTTCAGGCTCAACTTGCATAATTGTGTATGTTGTTACACTTTTGTGTACACATTATCTATTTTATGGGATTCATACTGGTAATTTACAGCATTGGTTTCAGCTCCTACTTTTTGCCTTGCTTTGGAGGAATTTGCTTTTTATCACATTTTGACGATGGAAGAATAACTATGTAGGCCCATCGGATGGTGCCATTTTATCCCCAGCATTTTATATATACATTCTTGTTAACCTTTTATAGCTTGTGTATTTTATAACTATCTATTTGACATGACATGTTTTTATGACCATGTATGGAATATGCATCTCCGGATGTCAATCGTGACAGTAACATAATACGCTGTCTGTAAGTAAAATGTCATGTTTGTTGTGGTTTTAAACTAGAGAAAACAGGTAAACAATAGAGGAATCAGCGAGGAATTAATCAAATTGGTGTACAGTAAACACTCTGAATTGTAGAGAAATGAAAGAAAATCAGTTCTTATTCAAATTAGGCTGAAAATATCAGAAGGCCATTTAATAGACGTACGGTATTTGGTTGATGTAAATGTAGAAATCTTGTTCATTCTTTCTGATGTATCCGATCTGATTCATCTTACTTCCTGGTAGTTTCAGGTTGTCAGTAGACATTGATCCTCACTGTTATCCTTCCGTGAGAGATCACAGGCTTTTTAGAAGGCCATCAAATTGTTTAACGATTTGGTTCAGTACACTTATGTAAGAATGTTGCGGGCCAAATTAACAGCCACGGAGATAAAGGGACTTGAGTGACATATGATGACAATTGGACTGGAGATGGTTTCCACCAATCAGATCACTTTGAAATGCCCTAATTATCATAATTCAGATCTTTCATCTCAGCCTAATTGGGACATACCGTAAGTCCGTGTTCAGTTTGCCCAAAAATCCCAAAAATGTACTTAAGTATGATGGAACTTAAAGACAATGTCAAAAGAAGAAGGACACATGTAGATCTTTATAGTGGCCAGTCAATGTTGAGGCTTGTTTACTATCTAACTTTAATTGTTGAGTTCTCCAAGGTAATCAACCATAACTATGATTGATGTTTTCTATAGCTCATGTCGAAATTCATTAATTTCCCCCTCAGCTCACACTGTCATTCATCAAAAATTACAAGTTATTTTCATTAGCTGTTGATCCCAAATTGTCATTGAATAGTCAAGAAGGGACTACTTGTGTTTTATATTCTTCATTGATATTTCTGACTCGCATGTCACTCCTTT